AGAACAGGTGCAATGATATCCCAGACCGAAAGTCTCCGGAAGGACCGAATTCCCGGAACACTCCTGGACAACACTTTGAAACTCACCTTCCTTCCTTAAGGCCTCATAAACCAGACGCCCAAACTCCGAAGTGTACTGGCCTGACCCTTTAGCACTAGAGCCCTCACATTTGGCATGTTTGTAGTTGATGTCGCATCGACACGGCTTATGCATCATCTCCGCCAGCCTACCATGACTAGTCACCAAGCGCCATCCCTTCATCATCAACTGACCATCGCTACCCCGAAGTCCCACAGCACAACCCTTCACAACGCAAGTCTGAAGTCCCATTTCCAACCTCAACTTCTGAAGAATCGGGAGTCTCCATGCTTCACACTTCTCAGGTAGTTCAACGGTCACATGGGTTCCCTGTTGTTGACAGAACTTCACTATTTCCACAGTGCTTTCGTAGATCTTGGTGGCGTGGGCTCTCTTAGCCTTGAGGTCAAGGGTCTGGGCCGGACTACGCTGGTTGATGTTTTGCAGAGGAGAGAAGGCATTACCGGGTGGGGCCAACCAAACATGTCTGGGCTACAGGCTTCTAACTTGCTCTAAGGTAGTCACCAGCCCCTCTTGGGTTGATAAATCGTGCCCGCACCAAAGCGAACATCTACGAGCGCTGTCAGGACGCCCCGTCCTTGATTGGAAAGTTTTGGCAAGGACGCTGTCTGGTTCACACATGATCTCAAGAAGCTCGGGACGCTCATGACCTATCAACTCCTCAAACATCCCTGGAACCAGGTCCTGAACTTTGTGATCCAAAACCCTCGAAGCTTTCAAACTCATCGGGAGTCCTGCTGGTCCTTCATCGGCTCGTCGGGCCGCGCCGTGATCTTCCGAGGCTTCTCGGACTTCTCCTCTTTCATCTCCTTCACCTCCTTCATCAAGGAAGCCACCGTCGTCGTGAGCTGCATCACCGCTTGGTCCGTCGAACTCGCACTTCCCGGTGTCGCTGGCGGTTCCCCCGGGCTTCCCCGTGCCGGTGTGGCCGTCTTGTATCCCTTCTTCTCCGGAGTCTTCTCCTTCGCAGGCGCCGGCTTGGTGGGCATATGGGTCACCAGCTCGTCCTCGAAGTCCGCGTACTCCTTCACCCATCGCACGAACCTCCGGAGAAAGGGGGAGCAATCCCCTTCTTGACTTGTCATCTTGGCCCATTCCACGTACTTGACCTCGGAGTCCAGCACTTGGCGGTAGGTCATCGCCGAAAACTTTCCGAATCCCATTGCGTCCTCGCCCATGGGAACCGTGGTCTCCATGAAGTGGTTCAGGAGCTTGCGCTGGATCGAGCTGATCGTGTCGTTGGGCGTCACCTTGACATTGTGCTCTTCTTCGGCATACTGGATCAATGTAGCCTTTTTGGCACTCTTCTTGTTCATCTCGGAGGACAGCAGCTGTAGCGGCGTCTTCGTCTTTTTGTTGGTCGACGGGGCCTGGGCCTCGCCGCGCTCGATCATGTCGTGAATCCGCTGCTTCAACTGAATCTTTGTCCACCCGCCGGGAGCTTCCTCGCCGTGGGCGCGAAGGAACAAGATGAGCTCTGGCTTGTTCCACTTCTCCATGGCAACGAGGCTGCGGTAGGCGAGGGGCCGAAACACCTGGAACTGAGCCGGGAGTGCAGCCGTGTTCACCGCAGTGTTGTTCATGAACAGCATGATCACTTGGTCGCGGCACAGCACATTGTGTCACACATGCTCTGGCTTCACCGACACCCTCTCTGCTTGCACTCAGGAAATCTTGAGTTCTACGATCATCCCCAAACCGAACAGTACCTCGACTATCACATTCATTAACCCCTAAATGCTCAGCCGAAGCACTGTTAGTGCCCATCCCTGATAAAACACTTGCGCCCTTCCCTTTTCCAGCAGGGTCCAGATCGGGAAGGTGTTGTCCCTAGTGCCTGATGAAAGAAGTGAGGCTTGGGACGGCACTGGTCGACTGATGTGCATTCTGCATCCAGTCCTCAGTGAGCGGAAGAAGCTGATGTCCTGATGCTCCTCTGGTAAGGGGGATGATATGCTTGGGGCTCAACCTTCGGAACACCGCTAGATCCGCTGAAAAATCGATGACTGCGCCGACGCTCCTGAGTGTTTCCACACTTAAAAGTATTGGACTCTGTCCTTGGTCCAGTGTGTGGACCTTCAACTCCCCAGGGGAGCCATTCGCGGAAACCAACAACTTGGCTGTGCTGAGGCATCGGTTAGTCGAACTGTTCCCAAACGAGAAGCTCGGGGGATTCTGATTCTCGATGCCCTTGAGTCCGGAGGCGCCGTGCTTGTTGCGGTTCTGCTGTAGCACTGCTTCCAATGCTGCCACAGACCCGATTGTCTGTGTAGCACCTCCGTCGATGACGCACATACCGCGCTTCACGGCTTCCATGGTGGAGATGCCCTCGTCAGCATTCTCCGTGCTCAGGGCCTCTGCCATGATGTCCTGGCCGTCCTGGTGTGCGAAGCCCATGAAGTCCTGGTTGTCCTGGTGCGCGAAGCCCGCGAAGTTCTCCGAGTCGTCGGGGCCTGAGAAACACACAAAGGGAGCTTGCTGATCGGTGTCCGCCGAGGATGTTGCCATGGCCGCGGTGTTCTTGTTCGGGCAGTTGGCCACTCTGTGGCCTTTCTGGCCGCAACCAAGGCATTCGATTTGGCTGTCGTCGCGAACTCGGTTGCCTGGGGCATAGGAGGGTTTGTAACCACGGGAGTTGCCCTGGTAGTACTTGCGGTTTTGCTTGACCATCTTCTGGCGGAAGCGAGCATCTTTGAGGGTCCTCTTCGCTTCGTGTAGCGCCGCTAAGGCGCTCTGCGCTTCCTGTTCGGCATCCACTACCAAAGCAATGCCCTCATCATTCATGCCATCGGCCTCCAAGTCGGTGGTGGAGTTCCCCTCCGTCTCAAAGTCCTCGTCCATCTCGTCCGCGAGCTCGCCCATGTAGCTTTGGTGACGTCGACCTTGGTCTCGTCGACGTACTTCTCCTTCTGGGAACTGGTTCCGTAACTCCTGGCCGACCCTCAAGGGGTCGAAATTCCCATTGAGGGCCGTGATGATCAAGTTCCTTTCTCCATGGTCGAGGCCCGCGTCCATCAAGAGGTACCAACCTTGGATGAACGTTGGCAGGAGTTCCGCGAGCTTAGGTGGGTCCTCTGAAGTCTGTGACGAAGAGCTCCATCGCGAGGCATACCAATCCCACTGTCCTTGTCCTCGCCATCCTGCAGACCATCCCCAGTGGGAGCCTGGGTTCCACGCGGTCTGGGCGTAGCTTGCCCATGGGTCCTCGGGTTCGTCGGCCCCGTCTGAGGGCCGGGTCGAACCACCGGCGGTGTCATTGTCGTCGGGGTTCTGAGAACTTTCCACCTCAGAGGCAGGCGTTCACTGCCTACCCCATTGGCCTGTCCCATAGTCCATGCTGGGCCGCCGCATTGTCCATGGACTGCTCGCTGAGGTAGTCGTCGGGCGAGCTTCGTAGTGGGGCTGCACCCTCCGAAGGGCTTGTCCAGCCCTCATGTAGGCCTCGGTCTTCCTCGTGATGTACTCATTCATACTTTCGACACTGCGGCGCCGGGTGCCCTTGAAGTACGTAGCCAACAAGTCCGCGACCTCGTTGACGCGGGGTTTTCCCAAGGCCTTCCTCAGGTGGTCCATGAGCTGCACCACGCCGCCCCTGAAGGCCACCCAACCTGCCGGTTGGCCTGCCACGTAGCGCTTTGCTGCGCCCGTCAGCTCTTGGACCAACTTGGGCCCTGCAGTATATCTCTTCTCCCACGTCAAGCTTTGCTCCCACAACAAGGCCGTCTCCTCGTACTGGGTGAAGCTCGCTGCTTCACCGCTCCATGTGGGTACGCCGTCTTTGGTCCCCATCGTGGCTGTCGTACTGCTCTCAGCTACTCCACTCATTGTCATCTTCTGCACGTCCCTGCAGAAGCCGGGTCCCTGGATCGATCACCACGCCTGCTCTTGGCAGGCCTTGAACCTTCCGAAGAAGGCTCCGCTACCGTGAAAGTGGTGGTAGCTGGTAGCTCA